ACAGCGCTCTCCAGCTTCCAAAACAGGTAAGCGTCATCAAGTGCCAAGGGCACTCCAAGTCAGACAACTTTGAGGCCAGGGGAAACGAGGCGGCGGATGAGGCCGCAAAGAAAGCTGCCAACTACAAGGTCAGTACTCCAGGAGTGTTTGTGGTTCGGGACGAGGGGCCAGACCTGGCAGACTGCCTGCCCGATCTGTCCCTTCAGTTTTAGCTGAAGCCCAAACAAAAGCAGCTCCTGAAGAAATATCCATGTGGGTTCAAAAACGGGCAAAGAAGGATCCAGATACTGGCATCTGGTACGGCCCTGATGGCCGCCCCGCCCTGCCCATGGGGGACCTCTCACGAGCGGCTTTATCTGAGGCACATGGGCTAGCCCATGTGGGTCAGGTACAGATGCTCAGGAATATGTCACAATGGTGGCATCCCTTTAAGACAAGCATGATCCAAGATTATACTAGGTCCTGTCAAATATGTCAAAATTATAACCCATCGCCCTGCTCAGCTGTTTCCCCAGGAAAATTCACACCTGCTGCTTGGCCTGGAGCACATGTTGTGATGGACTTCACAGATATGATTAACAGGTGCGCAGGAAAGCGGTACCTGTTGGTCATCACTGACACCTTTACGGGATGGCCTGAGGCATATCCTGCTGCAAAGGAGGATGCTGCCTCTGTAATCAAAGCCTTAATTCAGCATTACATCCCAACGCATGGCTTTCCCCAGTTAATAAGGTCTGACAATGGGACGCATTTCAGGAACAAACACTTGCAATTGGTAGAAAAACATCTGGGGCTAAAACATAAATTTGGAGCAGTCTACCATCCTCAATCCCAGGGCCGAGTTGAAAGGATGAATCAGACCTTGAAAAGTAAACTCTCTAAAATCCTGGCAACGAGTAAATTGAATTGGCTACAGGCATTGCCTATTGCCCTGTTGTCAGCAAGGCACTCTGTTAACCGCATTCACCATTTCTCCCCATACGAGCTGTTAACAGGGAGGCCTATGCCAGGACCAGGAAACAGGGTGGTGCCTTTCACAAAAGACGACTCCCCAACACCCCCAGTGCGGGTGTACTGGGAACAATTGAGAGAAATGTTGTCTAGTTTTTCCCATCAGGTTGAAGGAAGTCTCGACCTCTGCGAGAAGGAGGCCTCGGAGGATCCACCAGCCTGGGTCCGTGTGAAGGTGTTCAAAAGGAAGTGGAACGAGCCCCGCTGGACCGGACCCTTTGAAGTGGTGGCCCGCACTCGCAAAGCTGTTCAACTGAAGGGACACGGGAACAAGTGGTTTCATCTCTCTCATACGAGACCATCTGACCCACCCTCGTAACCACGCTCACGGGTTGGACAGGGACTCACACACACGCTTACACTCCCTCTTAATATGTTGCCTTGGGACAGGGAGCCCTGGCCCACGACCAAGAGAGGGAGAGCCATCCTATGGGCTATCGCTGCAGTTGGTTTGGTCGTGGTCCTGGGGATTTTAACATGGGAAATGTTAGAAAACACACAGCTAAGAGACAGGGCCAGACTTGTAACACAATCCAGTCTTTGGTCCAATAAGACTGGCAGAAATAAAAGATCCATAGGGGAAGGCAGCGTTAGAGACTCTCTACCTACGATTGTGACAGTAAAATGCCCGGTGGGTGCGACAATTACAGCCCACATACCAATGGCAACAATCTTTCCATTATCCTTTCGACCTGACTACACACTCTACCTGTGTTACACACCGTCTACATGTAAATATGAGAGACATGGAAAAAGCTTTAGAGCATCGGTGGACTGCACCTGTGATGCTTGGGAGTATGCTATATATCCAATACAGGTCCGGATTGGGGTTATAATAAGGAACACAAATTGAAGGGACGAGTGATTCTGACTACAGACCACTCACAAACAACGGTGCTAGTCACTGTGAAAAATTGTGGGATTGATGTGAATGGGACTTACGTTATTGGACATTATCCAGGAGACATTAGACAATGGATTTCAATTGCCATACCCGAGGACAAGGAGCTAGACAAGGAGGCCATAGATAGTGAAGTATGGCAAGACGAACAGAACGTACATGTGACTGGTGACTGGACTGTTTCTGAATTGTTAAAACAAGCAACTGGATATGGGGATAGAAACGCTTGGTTGTGGACAGTGGAACACATGTCAGCGGCTGCTGGCTTTGACGATTGTGTCGTGTGCTCTACTGCACGTCCCACTTTGTATACAGCCCCTGCTCCACTTTTCCCAGAAGATGTAGATGGTTATAATTGTATGATAAAGTTGTTTTGGCAAGAAAAGGACCTGACTGAGGAGACAAAGACAGCCCCTAGTAATTGTTCAATGTTTGAAGTATTGTTCCCAGAATTGGATTCAGAAATTCAGCCTCCTATGTTTTCCCACAGGAAAAGCAATTACACCTGTTTCCACTCACTCAATGGAGGGACGAGGCCGCGTCTCCAGTGGGGGTTCCTTCCAGCAGACTGGTGTGTCAACAACGTCACCCTGCCCAGTCCGGTCCCCATGACCCGGACCAGAGGTGATTTGTATTGGTTGTGTGGAGATTTAAAACTTAGACATAGACTAATAAAAAATGTTACAGGTAGTTGTGCAATGGTGCGATTAATGATGCCCATTTCCATAATTGGCCATAAGCCATCCCTAGACAGTCCCCACCCACTGCATAGATTTAAAAGGGCAATCCCATTCCTAGATACTGGGAAAGATAATCCAACTTACATGGACTCTATAGGTGTTCCACGTGGAGTCCCTCATGAATTCAAACTGGTAGATCAAATTGCAACAGGTTTCGAAAATCTTCCAATAATTTCCGCTATTTTCCCTATTACGCCAAACAAAAATGTAGATAGAATTAATTTAATTTGGTATACTATGCTTAGGCTTGCCAATCACACCAGGGACGCAATAGAGGGATTGGCGGAGCAGCTGGGGGCCACCTCTCTGGTAGCATTTCAAAACAGAGTGGCTCTAGACATGCTATTAGCAGAGAGAGGTGGGGTCTGCAGTTTATTTGGTACAGAATGTTGTGTATACATTCCAAATAACACACATCCAGATGGATCAGTTTCCAGGGCTCTGGCTGGTCTCAAAATGCTGTCAGAGCAAATGCATGACGTTTCTGGAGTCCCGGAGAACCCACTGGAGGCGTGGCTGGACAGCATCTTGGGGAAGTGGAAGCATGTAATTTTGTCTGTTATCACAAGCCTTGCGGCCATCTTTGCAATAATAATGGTTGTAGGATGCTGCTGTATACCTTGTATACGTTCTCTTTGTGTTAAAGCTATAGACACCGCTGTTAACCCTGGACTGAGAGGTCAAATGCTTGCATTGGTTGAGGATTCCCCCGTCCCGTCGCCTGAGGAAGGTTATTGAAAGGTGTGGCCGTTTTAAGAGCGGCCAAGAGAGGGGAACTGTTGTATTAAATATAGACTAAAAGGCGATGTGAATTAGATTGACCTGAAATTGAACTCTGTCTGTTTCCAAGCAAAAAGAAAGACCTTGTATTGCCCCACTCCCCTGGTCCCATTTTGTCCAAAGTGCATGGGTGAGTTAATGATAGTTAATCTGGGGGGATTCTGCTAATCCTTTCAAGTTGTGAAAGAAGGAGATGGAGCCCAGAATCTGGAGGAGAAGCCTTGAGAGCTCTGCCTTATCTCAAAGGAACTAATAAATCTATAGGTTGGGGAGGGGGAGTGTGTGAATGATTCTGTTTAGGTCTGGAGAGACGAGGAGACCTGATGGAGGCCGGACTCAGGACCGAGAGCTGACTGATACGACACGCCCCCTTCTTCTTGCACATTACTTAATGAATAGCTTGAATGAGTTTTTAGTTTTTTCCTGGACCAGGGGCAGTGTGTGATTTGCGTGGAGCGCCCACCAAAGTCATACTTTTATATTTTATATAGAGAATAAGGGATAGTTACTTTTGGTCCGAACAGCTGTTTTAGATTCTTTTTGTATTAGGGAAATAAACCTTTTTGAATTTAACTTTCTGAATCATGGTCATCTTTATAAGGGATTTTGAACACGTCATTTTTTAATACGTTAAGATCCTGAAGGACACATCCTGCATCGTACAGAGCCGTGTAAGTAAGGATTGGTATGAACTTGTCATTCTCAACAAAACAATGCGTCTGTGGCTGTGTTCTTTTCAGGTCAAACATTCACAGTGTTTATTTAAAACGCCAACTCATACCTGAAAGTTCATTAAATAAAGATGGGGATGTAATAACTGAGCATTGTGACTCCATGGCTGGGTAAATAAATAATCCTTCGAGGTAAAAGCGTTTGCTAGTGAAATGTTAGCGAGCCACTTTTCCTGCGTCTTTTCGTAAAGTCCTTGGTGCGAGGCTCTTTATTAATCTCTTCACAAGGAATCCTAAAGTATCCATTAAAGGTTTCACAATTCGATCGATTAGAAAACTTAACACATGCAAAAGCCATATTCAGACACACTGCTCTAGTGAACAACTAGCTCGGCTGACCACCACTTCGTGATACGCATATGTAATGAGGCTGACGTGACGTCAATTGCAAGCAAGCAATTGACTGAGATGTTTTTAGCTCCATCCGTAATCATCAGGACACACCCCCAATTCCTTCTTTACAAACTATAGTACAAGGCGTCCACATTCACGGACCCTCTCCCCGGCCCCTGCCCTCTCTGGACCTAAAAATGACGAACTTAAAAATGGGCAAAAATCTGGAGTTTATTCTTTATTTAGGTCCCAAAAAACCATCATAATAACATTATATCAATAATATTAATACACAAATTGCAAAAAAAGGAGAAAAAAATTAAGAAAAAAATAAAATAGCTTTGTATCCACGTCCTCAAGTGGGCGGAGCCTAAGCCCTGTCCGCCGAGTGGGAGGAGCCTTAGCCCCGTCACTCAAATGTCCATTGTTTGTGGGCGTGGCTTCAAGCATCAGTCGCTGTGCAGGATTCAGGAATGTCCACGGAGACGAGGTAAGCGCTTCAGTCTACTGCTGAGACATCTGCAGAGCACAGGTACAAGCACTTTAGGGACCAGCACTTCACACACGTGTTACCCATTCGCCTCCTGCTGGCCTCAGTGAGTTTGTGTACGTGTACCTGTTGTATTTGTGCGCGTAAGTAAGGATTACCTATACAGCGCATTTTACAGACCAAGGTCACCCAAAACGCTTTACAATTGTTCAGAGTTCTCTGTGTGGCTCCTACTGGCCTCAGTGTGTGTGTCTCTCACCTGATGTGTCTATATGTGTGTGTCTCTGGCCCCCTGCTGGCCTCAGTGTGTGTGTCTCTCACCTGTTGTGTTTGTGTGTGCGTCTCTGGCCCCCTGCTGGCCAGTCTGCTGAGGATGTTTCTCTCTGACATCTGGAGCCTCACAGCCACAGGAGGGATGCGGGCGATTGTCGCAGGGAGACGTGTGACATCAGCTTTCATGTCACTCAGTAACTCCTCCAACTGCTTCAGCACTGAGGACGAGAGAGACAAGAGACTGTAAGACCAGAGACACAGAGGACGAGAGGGACACAGTTATACAAGAGACCACTGCTTCAGCACTGAGGACAAGAAGAGACAGAACAGGGACTCTCTGGCCTCCCTTTCTCACCCTCTCTAGTCCCCCCCTCACCTTTGTGCAGCACAGCGTTTGCTGGTTTGTTCCCTGACATAGACTCCTTGCTCAGGTGCTGGTGAGACTCTGCCAGACATTCCACTTCACTGAAGCGAGTGTTCAGGGCCATGGACGGGTGAGACGGGTCCTCAGACATGTTCAGGTACGCCGCTCTGCGTAGCTGCTCCTCTATCACCAGGGCCTGCTCCAACAGCTGAGGGGGGAAGGGATTTTAGGATCAAATAAAATAAAATTGTACATGTGTATACAGTCTGTACAGATGGACAATGCTAACACTGTTAGCATCGTCAGTCTGTAGAAGAAGAAGACTGTCCTTTATTCGTCCCACAATGGGGAAATTTCAGTTTGATGCATACACATATAGTGCATACATATATACAGATACACATCAAGGCATGCAGCGAACATCATATCCACGCTCCTTATAGGCTAAGTGGGTTAAGTGTCTTGCCCAAGGACACAACAACAGCAGGCATCAGTGGTAGTCGGTGGAGAAGTTCCCGTGGTGGTGAGCATTGGCCTTTGAGCTACTGTCGCCCATAAAGTCTGTTAGCATTGTCCGTCTGTATACAGTCTGTGTTAGCATTGTCCATGTGTATACACTCCGTGTTAGACTGTATACAGACGAGATATGCTATGTTAGCATTGTCCATGTATATACAGTCTGTTAGCATTGTCTGTCTGTATACAGTCTAAACTCAGCAGTAGTGCACCACAATCTTTACCTTGAAGCGTCTGGCGAGGAACTTGTTCTTGATTTCTAAAAAGTTTCCGCGGCTCATCTCTCCTTTGAAAGGCTCATTGAGGATGGCGAACTTGGCGTCGTTCTGGATGTCCTGCCAGCGAGCGTAACCGTGTCTGAGGGGGCGGAGTCAAGGCGACAACAGGGGAGAGGGCCAGGGTTTGGGACACATCAGGAATTTACAGAAGTTTCTGATGGAGCTCAAACTGAATATGCAAACCATTGTGCTAAATATCTAATGTACATAAGTAGAGGCAGTAGCAGTAGCAGTAGCAGTAGTAGTGAAGAGGATACTGGATGATGCCTGCCAGCAGCCAGTAGTCGTGTCTCCGGTGCCAGATCTCGTTAGTTTTCTTGGTGACGGTTGCAGCTCGTTCTTCGTTCTGCCACAGAGAGTGAAGCTCTGAGGAGAAACAGAGACAGGAGATCAGAACAGGGATCATTCTAATCAAAAGTCAGCACTAAACACTCTCGCCAAACATCACAGAAAAACTGATCTTTTTAAGATCAGTTTCCCCCCCCCCCCCCCCCCCTGGTCTCAGTGCATATGGTTCGTACCAGTGAAGCCTCCGTCTGCGATGTTGAACATGAACCTGGACTTGGCTTTCTTCTTCTCCTCGCTGACGGCGGCGGAGTCTTTCGAGGCGTTGCCGTTCTGAAGCTTCTCCTCTGGTTTCACCTCCTTCACCTCGATCACATCCTTGTCCTCTGGTTTCTCCTCCTTTTTCTCCTCAGCAGCTGGAGTCGTGTCCATCTTCTCCTCCTTCTTCTCTTCTATAAAAACAACAGTTACCGTTAAAGACCAGAATAAGAGACCAGAGAAACAGATAAAAGAACCACATCCGCAAGCAACACTAAAGACTCCATCCCCCAGTTCTCAGTAGAATCTCTGACAGCTTTGAGACTTCTGCTCTGATTGTAACATGATGATCACAGGAGTCTGTACCTTTCATGTCCACGTCCTCAGCTTTGACCTCAGCTGCTTCAGTCTTGTCGTTGGTCTTGTCCTCGGTGGTCGTGGGACTGGTCTTCCCGTCCTCAGCCTCCTTCTCCTTGGTCTCCTCCGGGTCTTTGGTGCCGTTGGTTGTGGCAGTGTCTCCGTTGGGTTCCTTTTCCGCTGCCGCCTCCTGTCCGTTCTTCTCCTCTGAGGGTTTCTCTCGCTCGTCGTCATCTGGAACCGGGATCACCTGAAGACAGAGGTCAGAGGTCACTTTGGATGCTTCTCATAGACAAGAGCAGAGCTGACAGAGCAAGACCAGGTCAGCCCTTATCAAAGACTAATTACAGAGAATTTATGATCGTAAATGGAGAAAAGAGGAGATGTTCAAACGTTCAAAATACACATCAGCGTCATGTTTTCACCTCGCTCTTTGAGTCTTTCCCGTTCTTCTCCGGTTCTATGTCTTTCTTCACGTCCTTCTCGTCCTTTGCAGCTTCTTCAGTCTTTGATTCGTCAACTACACAAGGATCACACCATCAGTTAAGAGGAAAACAGCAGTAAGACAGAAATGAAACAAAAAACAGACTATATACCAGTGTTGTGCCTGTTCACAGCTTTTCTGAACTAGTTCAAGTTCAGTTCATACATGCTCAAAGTGAACAGAACACGTTCAAAGTTCACATTTTTAATTCTGAACTAGTTCAAGTTCAGTTCATTTTACTTTTTTCGTGAGATACTTAAATACATATTTTTTTTCACACTACGAGCTATATATATATATATATATATATATACTCTCCTGTACACCCACAGGAGGAGAGCCTTTTGACTACAAAACAGACAAGATTTACATGGTTTTCAATGGGAGCAAAACTGAGTTTCTCCATCTCTGCTCATAAACTACAGACAGTAATGCGCTGCAGTGCGTGTGTCTATACCTTCTGTCAAATGTAAACGGTGTAAACTTTGTCGCTAACTCACCCTGTGTTTTCATCACGACTCGGGCACATGTGAAAAGCACCGGCTCACAGCGCCGCACCGCAACACAGAGTCGGGGTGCGTTCACAGAGGGTGGAAACCGTAGGAATTTTTAGATTTTGGCGGAAAAAGTGCGAGAATACAGGAGGGAGGAACTATCTCTTGTTGCGTTTCAAAAGAGAAAACAGATTCCAACGTTCATAGTGATGTCTGCCGTCCATGACACATAATGAACTAATTCACGTTCAAGTTCTTTAAAAAAAAATTGTTGCGTTCAGTTCAACGTTCACGAAAAAATGAGCATGTTCAATGAACGCGTTCTTTTGAACTCGTTCACGCACAACACTGCTATATACACAGATGGACAATATCGTGAAAGTAAATTTGAAGATAGAGCAAGTATATCGATAATGTGAAAAAGCTTGTTTGCCTTCTCTGTGCTGCGCTTGCCCCACCTCCTGTTTCTCCTCCTTCGGCCCGTTGTTTTATTTGTGAATGAAAGGCAGAATGTATAACTTTTTCTAAAACAGGAAATTAAACCAACTGTGACAGAAGCCCTTTGTTCCTACTTAAACAGACTCCCTCCTTCAGGCTCTATAAAAAAATTGGCATTATCGTATTTGCAGTTTTAGGAGGGTTTATCTATCTTGGTATATATTGTATGTTAAGAAAAATATTGGTATCGGTCTCGATATCGCCCAGCCCTAGTCCAAATACACTTCTCTCATCTATGGCTTCTCCCTGCGCTCTTAAATGCAGCTGCTGGCCTTGTCTCGGTAGGATCCAATTTACAACAAAGACATGGTTTGATCCAGTGACGCCAAACGGACTGGTTTACATGATTTTTCTTGAATATAATTAATTGGACAAAGATGTGGCACCTGGAGCTGGGGTGTTGGGCTGTGTGTCTGCAGGGGTTCCAGTGGAGGGGGTCTTTCCTGGGGAGTCTGGCTGAGCGGCTGCCCTCTTGTTTTCCTCCAGCTCCGCCATCCACGGCATCGACCACTGACCGTTCACATGCTCAAACTCCTGGACCTAAGAAGACAACAGGCAAGGTTTTTAGTATCGTACAGTTCATACACAAGTGCTGAACAAAACAAGACCCGTTAATTTATTCTGGTATCGCCCTAAGTCACACCAGCAGTTATCTCTGAGGACTCAAAGCCGTTGAATTTGTCAACACAGATCAGAGAAACAAACTGTTCAAACACGGGTATGCAACAATAAAAAACACAAAGCCAATGTCCATAAATTATGAAAAATGTGTTGAGTGTCCTGGACTTTCACCACTGTCCTTTTAGTTAATTGATTAATATATTTAAATAATATTAGTAAAGATAACATCCTTCAGTTGTTGCAGAAACAGAACTGTTTTAAATCTGGATTTGAACATTATCAGAGCCTGTCTCGCATTTTCAGGAAGAAGTTTAGTTCTGTTCTCTGGGTCTAGGTTAAGAAATGATGAACATCGGCCAATATCGATACGTATGCCGATATATCGTGCATTCCTAGTTCATATGGCACTAACATGTCAGAGATGTACTTTGGTGCAAGGCCATGAACAGACTGAAGCAGAGGCCTGAGAGCAGGACCTATGTGAGAGGACTTCAGGACAGAGACAGAAACCAGGAGTAATGTGATGGTACATCCTGGTTCTAGTCAGGACTCGAGCTGCAGTGTTTTGAGCTTGTTTGGAGAGACCAGTCAGCAGCTGTTACAGTCTAACACTAGAGAAGAAGCTCTCAGTCGTACCTTCTTGCGGATGAGGGACATGACGCCGATGCGCGTGAGGACATGCTGCCGGGACAGTCCTTCTCTGGGGACACCGTCTGCAAAGGTCTCAGCTCCGTCTGCTCCAGGTTCACACAGGTGTCTCATGAAGAGGGACACGTATGCTCTGAGAAGACAACAGAAATACAATCTCAGACTGGAGATGGTGAGATGCTAACCCGCTAGCTTAATGAAACCAGTGAAAGAGAGACTCACTTAAACTCTTTCTCTGATTTTCCGCGCAGATCTCTGACGAGCCACTGCGTCGTGAAGGCGTCTTGTGGAGGCATCCCATAACGCATCACTGCGTTTAGGAAGGCCTTTCTCTGCCGCGAATTAAAGCCCAGCACCTGAAAAACAACAGTTTATGGTCAAACATTGAGCACCAGAGAGCGAGCGAGAGACCGACCACAGGGCGAGCTGAGAGAGTGCGAGTGAGAGACCACAGGGCGAGCTGAGAGAGATCGAGTGAGAGACCGAGTGAGAGACTACAGGGCGAGCTGAGAGAGAGAGGGACCACAGGGCGAGCTGAGAGAGAGGGAGTGAGAGACCACAGGGCCTGAGAGAGAGAGCGAGTGAGAGACCACAGGGCGAGCTGAGAGAGAGCGAGTGAGAGACCACAGGGCGAGCTGAGAGAGAGCGAGTGAGAGACCACAGGGCGAGCTGAGAGAGAGCGAGTGAGAGACCACAGGGCGAGCTGAGAGAGAGCGAGTGAGAGACCACAGGGCGAGCTGAGAGAGAGCGAGTGAGAGACCACAGGGCGAGCTGAGAGAGAGAGGGACCACAGGGTGACCTGAGTGAGAGAGATAGCGAGAGCGAGAGAGACCACAGGGCCTGAGAGAGAGCGAGTGAGAGACCACAGAGCGAGCTGATAGAGAGAGGGACCACAGGGTGACCTCAAAGAGAGAGCGCAGAGGGACCAGAGAGAGAGCACACACTGAAGTCATGGAAGCAGTGTCTGACCTCAATGTTGCCTCCCACCCTGGCCAGCAGGGGGGGCAGTGGTTTGTCCTTCTCGTTGCGGAGGCCTTTCCTACCCGGTCTGCGGGAGTTAGCAGCTGGAACACATAGTGCACCATCAGCACACGAGCAGTCAGTACTATAAACAACACATGGAAAGAGCTGTACCTTCAGATCGCTCGTCGAAGTCCTCGTCTCCCTCCTCCGACGCCACGGAGTAATCAGACTGACCGTCAGACTGGTCATCCTGCCAATCAGCTGTGGACACAACCAGGGTTTAACTCAAGAGGCAACAAAGCACAAGGGACTAGTGAGAGAGCAGAGAGAGACGAGAGAGAGAGAGCAGTTTCATTCACAGGGGAAACTCCAACTTGCCTTAGCAACGGTTTTAGCAACACGTCTGTCACAGTTATGGCCCGAAGCTAACGTGTCAGAACAATAATGCATCGGTTTTAGCGCCTTTTTGGACACTCAAAGACGCTTCACAATCACTCCATACACGGTGATGGTGTAGCACGCAAAGACCAATGCTCTACCATTGTCGCCCGGAACAAGTGCCCGTATAAGAAACTCTGACCCCTGAGGACCTCCTAAACCCTGAGTCAACTGACCTCTGCCTGTGTCCTCCTGTGATCCATCGTTGTAGTTGACCTGTTTTCGGATGCGTTTGCCTTTTCCTAGGTTACGAGCCAGATCCTCCTGCTGCTGCTCGTAGTGGTGACGCAGCAGTTTCTCCCAGTAGTCTGGATCCACGCTCTCCTCCTGTTTGATGATCTCCCTCTGCACCTCCTCCTCCTGAAGACAACACAGACATCAAAGAAGGTTAGAGATTATAGAAACTCAAAAGACACCAGAGACCTTTTAAGAAACTGGTCCCTCCCCCACCCCACTCCACTCCCAATCTCTTGTCTCCCTCACCTCCTCGTCCTCGTCCTTGACCACATACTGAGCCACTTTGAAGGAGCTCAGATACTCGTTCATACTCTGCAGCTCTGTGTCGTCTGTGGCGTCCTGGTTCCTGTTCAGTAGACTCTCGATGGCTTTGTCATCGTAATGGATCACACTGCTGTCCTCCTCCTTATTCTCACCTAAAGAGAAGACCACACTTAAGACTTCTGCTCACAGGGTTCAAACTCAGAGATAGAGGCTAGAGAGAGATGCATGTTCTCTACTCTCAATATGAGATCCTCCAATTAGCCCACCGCTACAGAGTACCAACTAGAAATAAGAAAAGATATCTAAACCGGTATAAGAACTCGTTCCTACCCATATCTGTGAACCTCCTGAATGCAGGCCATCGAGCAATGGCCTGTGTTACTGTGTTGTGTTTTATGTCGGTCTTATGTATATTTTCAATGTAGCAGCCTGTGAGTCCAAGACATGTTTCCTACGGGACATAGTTAATTAATCTTGAATCTTGTATGCACATTTATTATCACTGCAGATTGGATTTACTGCACAGATCTGACCAGAGCATCGACATGGAAGCTAACTGCTATGGCGAGTATAATAATATTTGAGCTAGTATTTGCCTTGTTGCAGTCACAATGGTCGGCTGGGCCGACCATTGTACTACACTGCATTTGGGTTAGTTTGTGCCCCAAGAGTGACTTATAGATCTTTCTCAAATTTGTCTGGTGTATGCAAAAACCCGAGAACTATGGTTTGATTGCTGCCCCTTGTAGCTGGAGAAGTGCTTACCTTCTCCCTCGTCCTTGAACAGCTCCTCTGTCCCGAACTTCAGGATGTCGTCCAGCTCCTGTTTGGACATGGATCCAGTCTTGGATCCCAGACCAGGACGCACCACCAGGTGAGTCAGCATCATCTTCTTCTTGGCCACCTGCAGCAGGACAGCTTTCTTTTACTTTCCGACAACGTTTTGATCCATGGAGCCATTTTAAATCCAGTTGATTTGAACAGGATCCCTCTTTCTCTCGATTCATTCATTCATTGTTGCAGACTTTACCTGAGTGATCCTTTCCTCCACAGAAGCCTTGGTTACGAAGCGATAGATCATGACCTTTTTGTTTTGACCAATTCGATGAGCTCTGCTGAAGGCCTGGACACAAAGGTTTAAGTTATGTTAGCATTGTCCCTCTGTGCGCAGTCTGTTAGCATTGTCCATCTGTTTGTTAGCATAGCCCATACCTGGATATCGTTGTGAGGGTTCCAGTCAGAGTCGTAGATGACCACAGTGTCGGCGGTTGCCAGGTTGATGCCCAGACCTCCGGCTCGGGTCGACAAGAGGAAGGCGAACTGTTGAGCACCCGGGGCTGAACACAGAAGAAAGCGTGTATTTAGAGCAGAGAAACATTATGAGATGAACAGACCAGTAACTAACCAGTAAACCCACTCTACTGTTGAGTCATGAAAACACAACCTGGTATAGCCAGTAGCACCTTGTGTATGAACCGTGCCAATCAAATTAACGTGCCTTGCCCAGTTTACAGTGTTTATTCCTACCGTTGAATCGGTCGATGGCCTCCTGCCTCAGTCCTCCTGTGATCGACCCATCAATTCTCTCGTATTTATAACCCTCGTTTTCCAAGAAGTCCTCCAACAAATCCAGCATCTTTGTCATCTGCAACAGTAGACAGTGTTATTGAGGAGTTTTTACCACCACACCAGTACGAGGCACCGTATCCTAGCAACTGACCCACACAAAACCAGGATGCTAGGGACTAAAGAAGGACCTGGTACTGGTTAAACAGTAGGGGTGGGAACCTAAGGGTACCTCACGATACGATACGATACAAAGCTCACGATAACGATATTATCACGATATGACGATTATTGATATATTGGTCAGAAATATACAATATGCCAATTTATAGCATAAATAAAAGAAAAAAAATACTCTTTATTTCATGATAAATAGAATGGAGATGCGTAATGTAGCCTTATATTAAGTATTGATACTAATTCAAAAAAAAAATAGAAAAAAAAAATAATCTTTTTTTTTTAAATCTATATCGATACTTGGCAAATGCATATCGATAATCGAATCGCGGGAGAAAGTATCGTCACACCCCGATTAAACAGTAGAGCAGAGTAGGGTAAAAGGAGAAGAGATCTGAGTAGAGTAGAGCTGAGCTGGTGGAGATTAGGTCAACACATCATTAAAACTATTTGCCCAAAGTAGTTTTTTCATTGATTCCTTCAAGATTTAGTTAGAGACCAATCTTTCTTTTTCATTCTCAGAGGCAGCTAAACTCATTGATTTGCGAATCAGCGCATGCAGCCTCTCAAATTATGAAACAGGACTTGAGTTTGAGACCCAGATGACTTATTGCCATTGATGGAAACAGTTTATTCTCACGCTGACTGTTTACAAAGACAGCGTGAGGCTACGTCACTGCGTGGGAGGAAGCAAGCTCACGATGAAAGGAGTACAGATCCACTTTTACCCACACATTATAGCCATTTCTTGCATAGAGGTGATGTGTTGTATGGTGCATGCATAGAGGTGATGTGTTGTATGGTGCATCATCCATATCATCACCACATATGTGCTTAGGATGGACTAAAACATGAAGAGCGACCTTTAACTGTGCAATCACCTGTGAGAAGATGAGAACCCTGTGTCCGCCATCTTTGAGCTTCCTCATCATCTTCTGTAGCAGCAGCAGTTTCCCTGATGCTTTGATCAGACCCTGGTTCTCATAGATCCCATTGGGCAAACGTGGAGCTTCCTGTTCAAGACCACAAAAGGATTTTAATGAGAAACGCAAAAAACAACAGAACACTGAAAGTAGAATGGTAATGTGGAGCACGCACCATCGCAGCCACAGGGAAGAGGTAGGGATGGTTACAGCACTTTTTCAGATCCATGACAACGTTTAGCAAAGAGAACTGGTTCCCGCCTCCTTTCGTGTTCAAGGCGTCAAAGTTTTTCGTCAGAATATACTTGTAATATTTCCTGCAGACGAGAATAGACAAAGCAGGTAGATAAATATCAAACCCAGGGTCTCCAAGCTGTCCGACCCTCCAAATTTCTCTGGTCTCTCTGGTGTTGTGGTGCTTACTTCTGCATGGGACTGAGCTCCACTCGGACGATCAGCTCGGTCTTTGAGGGCATGTGTTTGAAAACGTCAGCCTTCAGTCGCCGCAGCATGTGAGGTCCCAACATGTCGTGGAGTTTCTTTATCTGATCTTCTTTAGCGATGTCTGCAAACTCCTCCAGGAAACCCTCCAGATTACTGCCAAAAGAGGAACAATAACCTTTACAATGTGTCGCAATGGATACAATAAAGTTTTACACCAATGCTTCTCAAAGTGGGGTCCGAGCCTGACATTACACACTCGACCATTGTGAATTTAATAGTACAGAATGTAACAGCTTAAAAAACAAATGGGGCCGGATCTACAGCCTCAGTCCTATGTTTGCAGATGCAAGAGGGTCTAAGGACATTCATGATATAAGAGTAGAAGCTTGAGTCGACTGAATTCTAAGGGTATCACAGCCTGATATGTATTGTATCAGTATGTCATACTCCCAAACCAGAATCCCCCCCAAACTCCCAGAATCCTTTGTGACGGACCTGAATCTTTCTGGAGTGAGGAAGTTGAGCAGGTGGAAAAGCTCCTCCAGGTTGTTCTGCAGAGGAGTTCCCGTCAGCAGCAGCTTGTGTTGAAGCGAGTAGTTGTTCAAGATTCGGAAAAACTACAAAACAAGAAAACACACATTACACATGGTACAGATCAACCAAACTCAGTATTATAATGTATAATTTTTGTTTCCTTCAAAAATCATAATGAGCCTGTTGACTTGAGAGTATGAAGGGTTGCCGTCATTTTCCGTCTTTAGTGACGCCTGATGCTGCCATTAAAGGGTGCTCTCGCTCTCTCTCTTTCTGATACCTTAGACTGGTTGTTCTTCAGTCGATGGGCCTCGTCCACCACCAGACAGGCCCAGTCGATGGATCCTAACACAGCGACGTCGATGGTGATGAGTTCGTACGACGTCAGCAGAACGTGGAACTTCAGTGACGAGTCTTTCTGCAGGAGAGAATGACAAGTACAGTACAAATACTCATCAGGAACTCTGGAGGGCAAACTACATGCGTTATCAGAGGGAAAAACTTGGATAGTCAGTAAGTAATCTTTATTTATATACCGCCTTTTCACTGCCGATCTGAGTCTCAAAGCGGTTTACAATTGTCAATTTTGGGCACTTGTCCTCTCACTCCACACAGAGATGGGAGCGGGGTCGCCAGTACAGGAAGCGCATGCCAGAACTATTGGACATATTTTTAGTGGTAGGGGAAACCGGAGTACCCGGAGGAAACCTACGCAGACACGGGGAGAACATGCAAACTCCCCTCAGAAAGGCCCTGGTCCGACCGGGATTTGAACCCAGGACCTTCTTGCTGAAAGCCGAGAGTGCTATCCACTCAGCCACCGTGCCGCCGATAGATGCATTAAGGCTAACACCGTTGTGATGTCACACTCATCATACCCTCTCTGCGGTTCATGGCTCATTACCTTCATCTTGGACGCCTTCTTTCCTCCTCTGATGGCGTTGTCCTCAAACGCAAACTCGTTCTCCCTGATAACCGCTCTGCTGTCCTTGTCGCCCACATACGTCACCACGTACATATCCGGAGCCCACATCTCGAACTCTCTTTCCCAGTTTATGATGGTTGAGAGTGGGGCCCCCACCAGGAAGGGGCCCTTGGAGTGGCCCTGAAAAAGAGGAGAACAGGCGCAGGGTCATTCCTGGATCTACAGACTCAATGCCCGTTGTCAACCATCTCTCTGGTCCGTCTCCTATATGTTTGTAATTATATCATTTCCTGCGTTACACTGTTTGATTCTCTGATCTGTTGCCTGTTAGTATCGTCTCAGTGGAACCCACCTCTTTGTAGAGCGAGTAGAGAAAGGTGGCAGTCTGCACGGTTTTCCCCAGGCCCATCTCGTCAGCGAGGATGGTGTCTGTGCCCTGAGCCCACGAGAACCGGAGCCAGTTCAAACCCTCCAGCTGATACGGATGCAGGGTTCCCCCGGTGGTGTCCAGGTAATCCGGCTGGCGGTCAAACTTGATTGTGGGCTGAAAGAGAAATTATCAAGTGTTTTACTTCAGGTTCAAACCACTGGAAAATGTCAGAGTTCCCTAACTGTAGCAACAGAGTTGATCACAGGATTCGTCGTGCTTCCACTGCAGGAACTTTGGTATAATTTTACAATACAAGCCCCGTTAGTGCGTGTCTCCACTGCAGGAACCTCCCCCACCTTTTACAGGAACTTTCACAGAGTACCTCCTATGTTCTCCATTTAGCCGTGAACAGCTCTTGGGTGGGGCTTGAGGTTAACTCAGGGCTGATTGGCTAAAGCGGGTTAGGGTTAGCGGGCTCTGACGCCAGCAGAAAGCAACAGAACGGCCATTTTTTAAATCCAGCAGCATTAGCCGAGCAGACACCACTGGAAACGGCAAACAACAGCAGCAAGATGTAAAATAAATGGACGGATGATAAAGTGCAGGCATTGATTCAGGCCGTGAAATAAATTGAATGAATTTTGCTTATGCGGTGATTGAAACTCAAGACGTTGCCGAGGGGTTCTACTGCAGTGGGGACACGGCCACTGAGAGGGCAGAGTGAAAGGACTGTTCTTGTAGAATTTTCACTCCCCCTCCTTTTACCAGGAACTCCTGTGGAGAGATTGTGACAATTGTCTCCCTCCCTCTCCCCCCTCCGGTCGGTCTCCCTCTCCTCCTCCCTCTCCTCCTCCCTCTCCTCCCTCTCCCCCTCCCTCCCTCCCTCCCTCCCTCCCTGATTTGATAATGATGAAAATAAATAATAGTTCTGGACTCACATCAATCACAGGGTTTTCTGGGGGTCTTTCAGGCCTCTTCGTTCTTCCTTTAACTTTGATTTTCTTTCCAGGTTTTCCATCCTCTCCGATCATCAGCTCCCTACAGAGCGCACAAACACACACTTAAGCTTTGTCCATCTGTCTACAGTCTATGGGACAACATGTGATATTTAGGAGAGATTTTATATGGTTCTCTTCTGTATAAAACATTTGGTACATTTAAAAATGTCAATATTGACCTACTGGATTGTCGCCCTCACAGTATTTACCAAAAAGGCCATAAAGAGGCCATGTACATTTCTCCTCTGTGAGATCAATAAAGTCTATCTTATCACATAGACAAAGTTCATTTGAGCCAAAATGTCTGCAATGTTAACAAATCAGTGTGTAATGTAAAAATACTAAAACAATAAAAACACTAGGGGTGAAGATGGGCATGTGGGAGAAACAGGATAGTGTTCAGGCTTCTGACGGCCACAAACAAAAGTGGGGATTGAAGAGGCATCCCAACCTGTGGTTCCAGTACTGCTGCTTGTACTGGTCAAACTCTGGCACGTCCATCTCGTCCCCCTCCCAAGTGGCCTGGTCGTATGCCAGCTCCCGCCACTTTATTAGGTAGTGGACATTGTGTTTCTTATCCACGCTGAAAAAGAGATAAACGTCAAGGAGAGACAAAGACAAAAGAGGAACCGGCCTTGGCCCCCCACGGTCTACAACCTCGGTACCCCCCCAGGTCTACAGCCTCAGTCTGACCTGTGGTTGATGATGCGGTGGATCATGAGCCACTCCATCTTGATGCCATAGCGGAGGAAGCGTTCCTCTAGCTTAGCGTACATGGGGTCCTTGTTCTTCCTCTTCGTGCTCTTGTCATCGTCTCCGTCTCCAAAGTCGATGGGAGGAGGCTCGTCCATGTCAGTCTTCCTCTGGTAGTTCCTAAACTTTGCCTGACAATGAAGCTCCAGCTGGAAACAGGAAATACAGATTTGACTATGTCCGAACAACCTATACGGAAACTACAGTTGTAGTAATGAAGGGGGGAGCCCTTTGCTGGTCCCTCTCCCCCTCTCTGGTCTCTCACCTGCAACTCTGTTGCCCAGGAGCAGTGCCAATATGACAGGTTGGACCACTTCAGGAAGAACTCTCTCTCTGGGCGTCCAGCCAAAGGAGCAGGGTCTGGAGCCTCAGGGGCCAGGTCCGGGGGCCGAGGGACGATGGTGGGGGGAGGAGGGTCACCCCAACGCCAAGTCAGGATCTTCTGCACTTTAGCCTTCAGAGATGGGCACTGAGAAGGGGAGAGAATCACACCATTAGAACAGCTGGAGGAAGTAAGTACAGTAAGGCTTATGAGGGATATCTCTGCCGCCCTCTAAATAACGGACATGGACCCGTATAGAAGCGGTGTGTTGTGACTGACCGTGCAGCGGGGGCAGATCCACTCTCCGTTGGGGATCTCGGGAAGGGGGGGGTTGAGGCAGTGGATGTGGTAGGATGAGGGGCAGGAGTCACAGCAGAGAAGCTCTCCTCCATCTTTACACACGCGACAGAACTCCATGTGGAGGTCGTCCTCTTCGTGGTCTCCTGCTTCACCGTTATCCTCCTCCCCCTCAGAGGCCTCCTCACGCGCCTCCCACTGGATACCCTCCTTCTCCTGGATACAAACAAAAGGGGGTCAGCGACAAGAAGAGAGCAGCGAGGGAGACCAGTGACAAGTAAGAGGTCCAGAGAGGAAGAGCAGACTAGAGACAAAGAACGCTGATCTAAAGATATGACAGCAGCCAAAAACACGGGTGATAGAAACAAAAGTTTTGAGACACAAATATCGTATAAGGCCTTGTAGTATCAGAGTTTAAACTTCCACTAATGATACATAACTGGGGTTGATGCTTACACAGTGTGGGCAGCTCCAGGTGCCCTCAGGGGCCTTCTCCATGTCGGGGTCCACACACACCATGTGGTACGCTCTGGGACAGGTGTCACACAGGATGATCTCTCCACCCTGCTGACACACCTCACAGTAGTCCTGATGGTCTGTCTCATAGCCATCACCATCCTCCGCTTCTACACACAGAGAGAAGGAACCATGTCACAGGGGACGACCAGGTGAGGGCAGGGAAGACAATAGAATCCAGAGGGAGACCAGAAATAGAGAGCGAGAGAGACCCAAGACCAGAGAGAGACCAAAGAAAGACCAGAAGGAGAGAGAGAGGGAGACCGAGAAAGACAGAGTCCACTGGATTAATCAAAATGGTGCGAACAAGCCACACAAGTTTTCTTCTGACTTTCAATAAAGGTAACTGTTATAATAGCGGTTCTATTATGTAAATAAAGCAAAAATGAAATTTACAAATCACAAAAAATCTGCAAAACGGTGAAAGACCAGTGTACGTGCATCATTCGTTTCTCGGACACCAGATGGATCATTGAAAACACTAGTATCTGTTTGGAGACCCTCACCCTTCTTCCTCTTGGGTTTGTTCTTGGCCGGCTTCTTCTTGCTCTTGCTGCGACTGTTTGATCCTTCAGACACAGAGACACTGTTCATACTGATGTCATCAAAGTCAGACTCCACGTCCGGCTCGTCGTCCTCGCTCTGCAAAAAGCAATCATATTAGTAGTGACACCACCATTTAAACTCCATCCATTCTCTTCCACTTGTTGCCATCAGTTGCCGGGACAGAGAGATGGAGAGATAAAGAGCAGAGAGAGAGAAAGTGAGAGAGAGAGACCAGAAAGATAGAGAAAGAGAGAAACCAGAAACCAGAGGGAGCAATCAGAGAGGAAGACAAACCAGAAAGTGAGCAGAGAGAGTGGTGCAGCTCACCGATGAGCGTTTCCTCTTGTTGAATCCTCCCAGTTTGATTTTAAGTGGAGCCACTTTCTTGGTTTTGGCGTTGCTTTTCTTCTCCTGAGGTTTTGCAGCAGATTTGGATTTCTTACGAGCATTTGGTCCTGAAACAAAGAGACACAGAGACAGAGAGAGAAATGAGTTTATATGTTCTGACACAAAAAAGATGTAGAAATTAGTTCCTTTGTACTCCCTGGAACCCATGAACAATCTCCAAACTCAGACTATAATCTGGAGGCACAACATATGGTAACTGTTAAAAGTCAGTTAAGTACCTGGTTATAATGTTTTATGTTGTAATCTATTGTTAAATAAAAGCTAAAAACGGCCAATAAGTTAAGAATAATTAACTTTTAAATCAGTAGTAGTTAAATTACTGTTGGTTTATACCACTCAGGCTTGCTATGCATCAGTTGCTATGCAGCACTCAAGTGTAAACATGTAACAGTCAGTTTGTTTACGTTAAAACGGCTAAGATTTGTCTCAAATCTGATCTACAGCAACGTCAGCCATGACAGCCATGACTGAAAGTTTGTTTGTTGGCTGTCATTCTGTTAGAGAAACACTAGGCGTTAGACTTAATGAGTTCAGCAGCACTTCAAATACAAAACTAGTGAACATTTGTTAATTCCTGTCTGCACTGACCTTTGCCTTCCTTGGTCTTGGCCTTGCGCAGTGGTGGAGCAGGAGGTGGCTCTGGGTCAGCAGGGGGCGCTGTAGCAGGAGCAGACTCTGACACCATGTTGTCCGAGGCAGACGTGGCGTTAGTAGTCGCCACGGGAACGTTAGCCACGGCGCCGCCCCTCAGAGGGTTGTTGGTGCTGAACTCCCGCCACTTTGCCCCGAGGACCATCATCATCTTCGAGACAGCGATCTTTGGGTTCTTCGCAGCAATGAGAGGTCTGAGGGACAGGAGCAGGGCGGGTTAGGGGTTATGGTGCTTTCAGACCGCCAACGCTGAAACACGCATTCTCTAGTTTTCAGACGCAGGGGTCTTCAGACCATAAGTCCTGGCGTGCGCCGGAAGTGGCGGAAGTAGCCGGCGGGCTCTGATGCTAACAGAGTTTAGCTAGCAGCTTCTTGTGTACTGCGGTGTGCCATAAGTTTATTTTATTATTAAAACGGTACTTCCGCATTGGCGAACACACTCGAAGCAGTTGCATAAAGTCACGGGAGCACTAACAAGCACTATGTCCCCCATTGTAAACCCTGGTTTAGTCCTGGTTTAATCCTGGTGTAGCTCCTGTTTTGGCTGTTTGAGTATTTTCAGTCTGCTCGCTCAGACCGCTAAAGTCCCCGTGACCACTTTGCGGCTCTCTGATTGGTTGCTGCACAAATGTCCAGAGGAAAGGTTGAGCAAAATTAATCTCCTGTGTTCCTCCCCTTCGACTTCCCCGCGCAGTCTGTGCGTGCATTCCGAGAAGCTTGCGCGTTTTGACGCTTTGCATTGAAAGGCGACGCAACGCATGATCCGGTCTGAACGTGGCATTAGAGGTAAGAGAGAGGGAGCAAGATAGAGACAGAGAGAGCAGACTCATACCGGACGAACTGGCTGAAGGCCTTGTAGTTGGTGAGAGCGCGATAGTCCTCCTCAGAAAACACATGGTCGATGTCCTCCATGCCCCACGTCTCCAGCAGCTGTGACGAAGTCTTTGGCTCCTGAAACACAACAACAGACTGTAAGAGACAGACACGCGCCATGGACAATTAACAATAGACTTTCAAACAAAAGCCGTACTTTCTGGACTATAAGCCGCATCAGCAACCTTTTAAAAGAAAGAACATGTTGTACACATACAGGTCACATCTGAATATAAGCTGTGTGCCCCAGGGTAGCTGTGGCCACCGTAGTAGTTTATCAGCACACTGCATTTTCTGGTTTTGGAGCAAAAACATTAACAATTAATCCATCAACCCCATCATTCACAAATAATGAAGTTGATTAAGTAATTTTCTGTTTTTCTTCATGATTTTGGACATAATGGAGATGGGGGTGTTAGAACCAGTGGGGGCGGGTCCCGGCTCAAAAGTGGACAAAATGACGTGCGCTGCAATACCACCCCGGGCTGATGGAGGTGGACCCGTAATGACAATTATTCATTGCTAAAATATAGCATTAGCGGACCTCTCGAAAACGTCTTCACAGGATGGTCCAAAAGTCGGCTCTTGGCCCAAAGCTCCGTTCCACATGTGTGTCACTGCTGAGGGGAGTGAATTCTTTTGGACCACTCTAGTTTAGTCGCTGTGAATTTTTTAAGGCACTCTGGCTCGTGCCGGCTGACGCATGCACAGATGCGTTTTTTTCACATTTTCCAGCCCCCGTGGCTATTTTGAAACTGCCCATAGACCGCGGAAGTTGTGGCACATTAGTTAGAACGGCGGAGATAGGCGTGACTATGTCCGTTAAAATTTACAGTCTATGGTTATAACATGTCACTTTTAGCCTCCAATGAAAAAAAGCAATCAGGCTGCATTTGAGCAATGACATTGTTCAGAGTGAAGTCAAGAGGACTCCAGCAGTCATTTAACAGTTTATACACTACTGACCAAGAAACGGGTCAATCCACCCACATCCACTCTACAACACATGAATATAGTCAGTCACATTAGGGACCTTATACAGTCATACTCAGTCCTAGTGCAAGTCCTATTCTTGGAGCCTGTCTCAGTCCTAGTCCCTTTTTGATGCAACCTAACTAGTTCAGCACAACATTTCTGCTAAAGTCCATCAACTTAAATCATTCATAACTGATTATAGATCCCCTCCCCCCTCCCTTCCTTCCCCCCTCCCCCTCCTTCTATAACATCCTCAGCTGCAGAATTAATCCAAAGAATCAAAAACGCATTCATGAAAGGGTCAAAGCAGTGAGTGGTGCAGTGTTGCCATGGAAACTGCATATCACGCAGTCTCACTTATAGCAGATATGTGTAAAGACGACTGTCATCAGAGTCCTGCCTCTGAAGGTTTACTACAGACAAATACAGCCATTTTGAGACGAAAACAGATCAAAACACAGAGGAGGAAAAGGCGCGAGATGGCGTCTCTGTATCCATTATTGATTAGACAAATCCCGAGTGGGAAATGTAGAAAATGTGGAATCTGTGATGTTAAGAGTGTAAATGAGTTTGAACAATGGGGGACTCCAAACTTACAGTGAGAGAGAGAAACCAGAGAGAGGGACAAGAGAAAGAGACCAGAGAGAGACTGGAGTCAAATGGCCAAAACCAACTTGTGCAGTTAGACCGGTCACACTCACTTGAGTTTATTACAAATACTGTATTTTCATATCTGACTTTTGTTCAAACTGATAAAAGTTAGCGTTATTAGGTTTCCTATGTCTGAAGACGAGCCACTTTAGTTCATGGGTAAACCTCGCAGCTGAAGTGGACTGAGGCTGCAGTACCATGGTCCACCATCAAGCGACAGCAGCAGTAGATACTATAAAGATACAACACTATAACCCTGCCCCCTGGTTCCAGATGCTGAGACAGTAAACTCTCACCGAGTCGTCGTCGTCCTCCTCCTCCTCTGGTTCTGGTTCTCTGCGTCTGGAGTTGCGGTCGCTGCTGGTGCTGCTTCTCTTCTTCTCTTTCCCCGTGCCGCCTCGCTTCTTCTTCTTGCGTCCTGGAGTGTAGTCGCTGCCCTCGCTGTCCGAGCGCGGAACTGCAGCTCCATCCTCCGTCTCCTCTGGTCCTGCTGTGTCCATTGGCTCCGGAGAACTCACCGTCAGCTCCTGGGACAAGATACATATACCATCAACCAGGACCATCAACAACTAACCGCGACAAACAAGGTCCTTGTTTGCCCAAACACAGCCACGCATATAGCGCTGTACCTGCTGAACCATCAACGCACCTGTGTATGAACCACAACAGCTACAAACAGTTTGTCCACATAAAGGCCGGACCAGAATACAAGCCGTATGTATAATGCTTATTGTCAAACTTTTAAAATTGGTTAAAACTTGACGCAAAGTGATGGTCACATCGGCAGATGGTCATTTTTCACCAGTACATAAACAAAAAATGACAACTTGAGCTGTTAGCCCATAAAGCAGGTGTTGAAGGTGGCCAAGATATGTTTAATATAAATGTACTAACATTGGTAAATAGGAGTATATTGGCAATAATAACATTGGATCAGTATATTACTATTTACAAGTCGCTGCATCACAGACACAGATGAACTAAAGCAGAGGTACGAAGCTCAAGGTTCAGTCCTCCTGTTGTGCGCAACATCATCTATCAATGACACGGCCTTCACCTGGCAGTGTCAGGTGATTGCTTTAATGCAACCAAGCATTAAAGCATAATGCAATCAAGCATTAAAGCATAATGCAATCAAGCATTAAGGCATAACATTGACAGAACAGTCAATTGAAAAATTAAGTTTTTCAACATTTTCATCTCAGTCTGTGTCCCCTGTATCATTTATGGCTGGGGTTTGGCTGTAGAGAGTGTTTTATCGAGCCAGCAGGTGGCAGCAGCGCTCTCTGTCTTGGTCAAAGGTTAGTGTCTTATGGTAGAGCAGGAAGGACAGAGGCAAAAGGCAGGAGGAATACAGCCAGGGACGGGCTTCATTTGGAGGCAGTTTGAGCAGTAAATTTGTCTCTAGAGCTGACAAAGACCATGTGGAGGGCCAGGGCAGCAGACCAGAAGTGCACCCCAAAAAAAGCCACAGAAAAGTGAACTATTGATTCTTTAATACCATCACAGCGCTCTTTGGACTAAACATAATGACATTCTGTAGATGTAACCAACACACAGTATTTTATTGCACTAATAGTATGGTCACTTTGGTCTGTTGTCATTTATAGTGTTGATCATTGTAAAAATAAAATATATATATATCCATCCATTCATCCATTTTCTACCCTTTAATCCATTTCTGGGTCAGGGGGGTGGCAATCAGAGATGCCACCCAAGTCTCATAGCACCAGCCCCTCACTGACCCTCTGCAAGTGGTGAGTCCACAGGAGGACGGCTGCTCTCTGAGTGTGAGCATAGCCTTGATCTTTTAGTGGGGGCTTTTGGGCAAAGTGGGGTTAAGTGTCTTGCCCAAGGACACAACGACAGCAGTCATCAGTGGGAGTCGGTGGAGAAGGTGTAGAGGTGGGAATAATATATATATATGTTACTTACTGCTATTAACATAAATATAGCACCACCTAATGGATGAATACTGGCCATTCTTTCTGCCAACCGGACCAGCTATTTCACTCTTCTCCTCGCTCCCACCACCAGGGTCTACGCCCCAGGGATTTCATCTCATCTCTTTTTCCATCTTTCCTTCTGCATCATCATTAGTGCCCTGCCGGGGTCTAAGCACCAAATCTTACCCACAGAGTTGTATATGTCTGTATCGGTATATGTATATGTGTCATGTGTATTCATGTATCGGTATTAGATTAATTGCAACAAATACAAAACAATTCTATTATAGTCCTGTATTTCCTGTTAGTCTCTCCAGATGGAACATGATTTAACAGCAAGGTATTTTGTGATGGCCAAAGCTACACAATAAAATCTGAGGATGCTAACATTAGCTCACATTAGCATGCTTACCTTCCCGTTAGCTTTAATGACTCATTTATCCATTTTGACAATAAACGCCCATCTGAGAGTTACTAAACTGGGCTCTTACAACAGCCCTCAAAGCACAGTATAAACCCCACACATGTTTATAATTACAACAATAAATCTACCCAAAAATTATCTCAAAAACTTGGATTGAATTACATTATTTTGTCTAGAATACGTCATAACATCCTTAAAAATACTTTTGATCGCTAGTCTAAATACATGGGATGGACTTAACTCCCCTAATTGAATAAATTGTGAGATGTGTGTAAAAAAATTCTGGTACAACAAAAACAGCAGCAGCAGCACATGTGAGTTAAGCAGGTTCCAGAGCGAGCAGAGAAGCTGAGAGCTCCTTATCTCTGAGGAATGACAGTGACCGGTTATATTTTCATATTTCTGCTCCAGATTTACCACCCGCCTAACCAGAGGACAGGGCCTTCTCTTTGGTCTTGCACCAAAATGGGGCTTCATTTGACCTAGTAGATACAGGACAGGTTGTAGACAACTCACTTCTCGCTTTGATCGTCTCTTGCCTTTACTTTCGCGGCTCTTTTTGGCCTTTTTCTTCTTTTTCACTTTGGGCGTTTCATTTTCTGAGATGTCGTCCTCCTCGTCATCTGCAAACACAAAAACATATTGATTAGTTACAACCCTAGCTCAACTATAAAGCAATAGAAAAGAACACATGTGCGCTAAAATACAACTCAATCTTTCCTAATTGTATGTAATGCTAAACTTCTGGATTGAAGATAAAGATGAAGTTCCTTTATCTGCCATCATCATGTGCAACATAGATATTCATTCATAACACGTACATCAAGTTCAGGAGATGTAAACAAGGACTAACATTTCTACACTTTGTTAATGGCCTCCCTCCCTCCCTCCCTCTCTGGCCTCTCTCCCTCCCTCTCTGGCCTCTCTCCGGCTTTGTGAACTCACTCACTGTCAAATATTGTACAGGGGGAAAATAGCACATAATAGTATTAAAATGCAAAAGCACTTTAAAGTCACAGCAGCAGAGACTATGTACCCTATATTCAAATGTATTCATAATTTACACTTCCCTTTTGTGTTTGTAAGTATCGCTTATAAAAAATAAATATTAATGCATGTAGCATCTGTTTGACCCCATTTCCACCCTCAGCTTTCAGTTTCTTTTTGAAGTGTTAATGGACAAAGCCATCTCAGTCTGCAAGATTCTGAGAGACACAAACTTTGAAACATTGTGAGACCCCCTTATAGAAAGGAACGTTTTTATCTCATGCTTAATTCAGTGTGATTCGGAAGGCATTATTAATAGCCTTTTGTAACGCTGGTTCGAGGACGATGTGTTCTCTGCGGCCTTCTCTGATGCGCGTGCACGAGAGCTCATTATGCATGCAACAACACAAAGCGACAGTTTGGACAAAAATGCTGTCCCCTCATGGTTTCTACAAGGTTTCCCTACACAAACACCGCTTTAACCAGTCACATTTCGCACAATACAACACAATTCAATGCCGTTTTGTTTACGTTTCTTTCTTTAACCCGAGCGTCCGGTAGTAGACACCAGAAACACCCGGGACACTTCGTCTTGTTAGTTTCAAGCCACAACAAATGCTACAAATACACGAATTCATGTTTTAGGGCTCGTTTTAGCGATGTGAACCCACGCTGGAAAATAAACAGTATAAAAAAGCAGCTTGCTAACGTCATCTCCCGGTTCGTAAAGCTAACTGGCTGCCTCCATCTTGTCATCGCCAACGTAAAAGATACCGGTAGCTGCTAACGCTAGGCCGCTACACAACAAGCCGGTTCAAGACACATTTACAACATTCACAATCTCTATAGAGCCAGTTCGTGCATATTGAGTTTAATGAATGAGATGACAATCGTTAACGGGGGCGATTATGTCCTGCGCGGCCCCAAAATCTGTTGGTTTTGGCGAAGCGGCTAATGTTAGCATAGCAGTTAGCATACCGGCAGCTAGCTTAGGATGTAGCATTCTGAAAGTCAAGGCATTTGGAACAGAGGCGGAGCACACGTCACAACTCAAACAACGCTGTTTTGAGCATTTATGTTAAAATGTTAGGTGTAAATGTATTATTATCATCAGCTATAAAGTTAAATTTGTTAACAATATTGACAAAATAATACAGCTACTGTACGTGAAATCACTGTCCAAATGGAAATGAACAATAACAGCCACTTTAGTTATTTTGTATTAATTTTCAAAAAGAAAATTGAACCTTTATTCATCCTACACTGGGGAAGTTTAGGTGTTGTAGCAGATATACAGGACTGTAGTACGCACACCAGAGAGAGACTAGAGAAACTAAATATAACAAAATATACAGAGATTAGTAGCTGTGAATGCTTCATAATAAGAGCAATAAGTATGCATCTATAGATTATATATTAGTGTTGTAGGCTGTATAGATCTAACCTTACTCCTTCTGACCACATGCCCTCATAAAAACAGCCTATACTTAATTTTCTGTCATTCCTGAATTCATACTCTGAACAATTCTTCAGGTTTGGACTTGAATGCGTGATGTGCATTACATACAGTTTGTTAATGTAATTCCACGCTGACAGAAATGTATAACAGAATGCCTTCAACATGAAATTGCTTTAACATGTCCAGTCTACATCACCTATTGGCTCCTGAGGCTGTAGATCAAGGACTGCACAGCACTTTGGAAGTTCAGTTCCATGCAAGTCATATTACATGTTCTTTGTTTACTTTAAGTGCTCATCACCCACTACTTCACTTTAAAATGTGTTTAATGAGTCGACATAGCTCCTCACCGTTTTGAAGTGATAGGACATACATTTTAAAACAGCATTACATGTAATGATATTGAAACTTATTTTCTGAATGTCACTTCATTTACAAAGCCATAATGTGGCAACTTACATAATAATGATAATAGTAATACAATAAGATCTCATATATATTAGACATATACTTAATGCTGTTATTAAGGAGCATTCACAGCTACTTACCTTTGTGCAACAATGGCATTTCCCCACTGTGGGACGAATAACAGTTATCTTTAAATTAACTTATTTAACAATTATCAAGTATGAAAGAAGGGATCCATGCATCAGGAATAGGTTGTTATGATAAAAGGGCAGTGTGGTCAGATCTATAGAACCAACAACCATTCTTACTAAATGTTGTGTAATTGTGGCACATCCTAATTCACAATATATAACCAATACACTATAAAAAACCTAATGTAGGCAGTTTATGTCAACACAACTTTACATTGGCTTCAGTAACTACGTAGGCTGCATTAGTTCACGCCCCCGGTCCAAATGCCAAGGACTTGAGCTGCTCATCGTTAGCAGAAGAAGCACATTGCTCACGCTGCTCTGTGCGAAGCATGATTGATACGAGTGTCAAAACATCTGCCCGGGCTAGCATTTTGAACCAGTCTCCCATTAGCAACTCTGAGGCTAACGACCCAGGCTCCTCTCACCGTGCATCAGGCGCTCCTCGGCGGCTTCGTAGTCCCCTCTGTCGTCCTCGCTTCCAGACATCGCGCTCTCAACTTTTTTAGTTAGCCGAAAGAGTTCCAGCTAACCAAAATAAAGTTGTTAATCTGTGTGGTAATCCAGAGTTGTCGAGTCTGTTGTCGGGAGAAATAAGACACACACAAAAAGGAGGGATGAAGGAAGTGGATGTTTAAGCGGTGTTTTCGCGCTTCGAACCATCAACACATCACTGCTTTACGGCTGCGATCCCCCCTGCCCAGCTTTTACACCAATTCTTTTAAGTTTATATACCGCTTTTCAAGTTCAAAATCACAAGTATCCAATGTGGACTATACGCTTTGAAGAGTAGCAGAGGGCTAAACGAGTGTAGCATCCACGGCGAGGGCAGAACCGAGAGACGATCAACACGAATTTGGTTAAAAATGTAGAAATTTGAGGAGAACCAGCGACCCGGCATCCGAGCCCAGGGCAGGCCCACAACAAAAGCCCAAACTGGGGTACTCACAAGTTGGCTTTAGGGGGTTGGAACTCCCCGTGGATCACTTTATCAATGAGTCGAGACTTGACGAAACGGGCCCTTTGTGAGTAATATCCGAGTATTTTGCGTGTAATGTGCGCGAGCGTGGCCGTGCTCTTGTCTCCCTTCCCTCGCTGCCTTCAGACAGTGTGCATGCGCGCGCACACACACGCACACACACAAAGAGATCAGGGGGCAGGCAGACATCCCATAATAACCCCCCCTGCACGGCCACCCCTCCCCCACTCTGCATACTTACCTTGCACCGTACAGACCATAATAGTCACAAGCTCTCACCCCCCCCCCCCCCCCCCCCTCGTGCACAAGCCATACTCTCTTCCCCATTCTCACCCCCCCCCCCCCCCTCCCTCCCTCAAAGGTTGCCATAGATACGCGCACCACCAGACCCGCCCACTTAGTCCTGGCATCCCATAATAGTCTCCACAATAAGCATAACTCCAAAAATGAGAGATACAGTAGTGGAGGAGAGAGAGGCAGCGTGCGCGTGCCCACAGGAGTCTGGCTGAACTTGGCGTCTATCGTGCGCTGTCAGAATGCATAATAAGGATGTACTGTATGTGATGTGACTGCATGGTGAGAAGACCCAAACGTGTCACCATGAAAGGCAGAAGTTTAGGTCATGGTTCAGAAGAAAGTTACAGATCACAGCTGCGGTCGAATCAAGTCAAAAGGAGGCCTCAAAGAGAAGCGTCCGAGAAGAAAGTTGTAATACATTGAAACCCATGGGATCTACAGCCTCACCCTGGATCTACAGCCTCACCCTGGATCTACAGCCTCAATCCTGGATCTACAGCCTCAATCCTGGATCTACAGCCTCAATCCTGGATCTACAGCCTCAATCCTGGCTCTACAGCCTCAATCCTGGATCTACAGCCTCAATCCTGGCTCTACAGCCTCAATCCTGGATCTACAGCCTCAGTCCTGGATCTACAGCCTCAGTCCTGGATCTACAGCCTCAGTCCTGGATCTACAGCCTCAGTCCTGGATCTACAACCTCAGTCCTGGGTCTACAACCTCAATCCTGGATCTTCAGCCTCAGTCCTGGATCTACAGCCTCAGTCCTGGATCTACAGCCTCAGTCCTGGATCTACAGCCTCAGTCCTGGATCTACAGCCTCAGTCCTGGGTCTACAACCTCAGTCCTGGATCTACAGCCTCAGTCCTGGGTCTACAACCTCAATCCTGGATCTACAGCCTCAAATCCTGGATCTGCAGTCTCAAATCCTGGATCTACAGCCTCAGTCCTGGGTCTACAGCCTCAGTTCTGGGTCCTGTGAGGATTAGATAGCTATTTGCAAGACACTACAAGGACTCTGATGGTGTATCCATGTTATGACTATGATTTGCTCTGTCTCTCTGTGACACGTATGTCTTTTGATGTGTGACGTAACAATGACAATAACTGTACGGACTCCATTTTGGTCTGAGAGAAAGAAACATCAAAACCACTGGAACTTGAGAGAAACCAAAATAAACTTCCAGAGTTTGCCGCACCACGATCCGTCTCAGTCCACAGCCTCAGTCCTGAGTCTACAGCCTCAGTCCCGCTCCCTCTGAGCCAATGGCACCTATGTGTTTGTTATTATCGTATTTTCTGTGTTTGAACTGTTTGATTCTCTGAACTACTGTTGATGAATCCACAACTTTGTTAAGTCCTCTGAGATAACTGCTGCTGTGATTTAGAGTGAGAAATACATTGAACTGATTTCAAATCGCTGGTCCCTAGTTTATCACAGGGTGATGTGTTCTAAAAATAACCCACAATGAGCAAAACCGGTGAAGCAACTTTATGTTTTAAGTCTAAACAAGTTGAACTTGGGGAGAGACACAATATGTTAAAGATAAAACATCTAACTCTTTGTTCTTCTGAAAAACTGAAATTAAACTCCAGGTCAAATCTGCTGTGAACAGGTCTCTCTGGTCTGTCTCTGGTCTCTCTCTCTGGTCTCTTTTTGCCCTCTCACTGGTCTCTTTCTGGCCTCTCACTGGTCTCTCTCTGGTATCTCTCTGGTATCTCTCTGGTATCTCTCTGGTGTGGATTACAGCGTGGATTAAGTTAAAATCAACTCTATAGGTTGATTGGGCGAGGTTGGCTTTACAACAAATGAGGTCACAGAGGCCAAACTGGTTAAAACATCACATATCCAAATCTATTTCCAGAAGCTCCCCAGGAGTGAGGCTGTAGATCCAGGCAAACGCTAAACTACTACTGTAGCCACAGCTGCCCTGTGGCACACTGACAGAAGCGAGGCAACCATTGGTACCTCCCATCACCAATAACCTATTGTGGATAGATAGCTATGACCTACGCAAGTGGACAAACGCAAGACTCTACAAGGACTCTGATTGTGTATCCATGTTATGACTGATATGTTCTGATTGTCTCTTGATGCGACTTGTATGTGTCGTTCGATGTGTAACGTAACTATAAAAACCATGTCCTGACTTTGTTCTGTCTGAAAAAACTGAAACAACTGACACCTGGAGGAAACCTAATAAACTCCCGGAAGCTCTGGTGCACCTCGATCCGTCTCTGTGCAGTTAATCTACGACAAACCTTTCACACACACTTCAGAATCATTCTGATGTGGGTGAAGTGTCTTGCCTTAGGGCACAATACAGCCACAGCTGCCCCACTGTGGCATCTGATGTTCCTAGAGGTCTCCCATCACAGTTCTAACCAGGCCCTGCCCTACTTACCTTTGTAGGTCTGACAGGATTTGGCTTTAACCTGCGGGTATGAAAACATTTAATACTTCTCTCTGGACTCTCTCTCGCTTCACTGCCCAAAGGGTCGTATACTGACTCAGTGGGCTCTTTCTTACTCATATTTCCTGCTGTTGAGGTTGGACCAGAACAGAACAAACTCACAGAAACATTTATGATGTATTTATTGTAACTGACTTAAGGATCACTTAAACACTGTTCCTCAGTCTAATAAAGATGATTAATTTAAATCTCATTCATATACAGCAACTGTCTGTTTCGGCAGAGGTCAACGTCGCTATGGCGACAGCCCCCCCCTGGTTGCCCTTACAGAGATGCTTTTAATTGAAGTTGTTGTATCAACAAATTGTGTTGTGATTGTTCTTAAGGATTTTTCTCTTTATTTTCTCTCTCTGGTCTCTCCCTCTCTGGTCTCACCCTTTGGTCTCTCTCTCTGGTCTCTTTCTCTGGTCTCTTCCTGGTGTCTCTTTCTCTGGTCTCCCTCTGGTCTCTCCCTCGCCTCTCTACGGTCTCTTTACAATCAAAGAATTTCTATACCAGATTAAGATAAATCTTGGTCTTGAATGTCTGTGAGAGCCCCCACATCTCTCCTTCTCTCTGTCTGACCCCCTCCCCCTAAAAAACAACTTCTTTGTCCTTTGTGTATTTTTTTGTCCATTTCCTGATGTTTTATGCCCCCCCCCCCCACAGGCTCTGTGGACACTCTGTTCGCTTTCGGGGTGTGTGTTTGGGGGGAGGGGGGTGTATCTGCTCTATAATCACCAATCACAAAACAGAAAGAGGCCGTGGTGGTCGTCATGGAAACCCGTCTTTTTTCTCATCCGCAAAGGTACAGTTGTTGAATTGGGAAATCGTCACGTGTTAATATGTACGTGTGTGTGTGTGTGTGTGTGTGTGTGTGTGTGTGTCCATGTGTGATTGTGTCTGTTTGTGTTTGTGTGTCTCGGTATGCATGTCTGTGTCTGTTTCAGTATGTACTGTATGTATACAAGTGTATGTGTATGTGTCTGTCTCTGTATGTGAGTGTCTGTGCGTTGTATTTATGAGGGCAGTGGGGGGGGGAGATAATGGGGGGGTGCATTTCTGTCTGGTTGTCATGCCGACGGCGGCTATTACTGCATAAAGTGAAAATGTACATATACACTGTACGTTCTGGAAAACCAAGTGGACTCCACCCAAAACACTACACTCTCTCTGGTCTATCTTTCTTTCTTTCTCTCTTTTAGAAAAAAAAATGAAAAATAATTTTATTCAACACCAAGTAAAAGGGTAACAGTGGATAAAAAAAGAGTTACATTTTATTCCTCTACCTCCCGCAAAACCTCCCTCTCTTCCACCCTCTCCCCACGATCTTCAGTAAATATATACTATTGCTATTAGTAGCAAAGCTATTCCAAATGTTGGTACTTTTTCTGGTCATCTGTTGCAAATTTCCATTCTAGAGCAATTCTTCTACAAGCAAGTGATGATGCAAATGCCATGCTCTTGTGATGGGTCTTTTGATAGATAGATAGATACTTTATTGATCCCCGTAGGAGAAATTCAGGTGTCCAGTAGAAGCAAAAATAAAAAATAAAATTCATCATTCTAAAAAGATAACAATAGTAATAATCAGCAACAGCCCTTCAGGTCACAGCAGAGGTGGAGTAGCCTCTGGGTGGAGCAGTGCAGGTCAAAAGGTGGACTTGACGCTTGGTGGACCAGCCGTTTCCCAGCGCATCTTTAAAAAAAAAAAAAAAAGAGTATTTCAGTTGAGATACTCTAAACTGCTAGTCCAGCACCAAGCATTAATGATCTGTTTAAGGACTTTGATGGATGTTTACAAATGTAGTCCGGTATTTCTGAAGATGCGGACATGACCATATTTGGGACGTATTTGACATTTTGCACCTGTTACAGCTATCACTTACATTGGTGTTTTTGTTTTGTTTAAAGTTTATGGTTGATCAAATACAGATGTGAACAATTGTATATTGAACTAGGTTAAGCTTGCTACATGATGTGCTGTCATGTACCCGTGTTTAGACCAATCTTCCACATCCATTGTCTTGTGAAGTTCCCTTTCTTAGGGTGTATTCAGACCTGCACTTTTGGTCCACTTTAAACGGACCAGGATTCGTTTGGAACTCTGATCCGAACCTTTTATGCAGGTGTGAATACACACAAACGAATCCTGGTCCGGACCAAAGAACTGGACCGAGACCCACTTTTTTTGGTGTTCTCGATCCGCTTCCAAACAGACTCTGGTCCGAGTTGATTCTGGTCTGAATACAACCGGTGTCGAGCCGACACAACTGCGCATTTTTTGGGCTTAACAAGCCACCGTAGACAGGAACTATGAGGAATTAGCCACACGTCACACGCGTCAATATGTTTATAAAAAAAGTTAACTTGCAAAAAGTACAGTCTGAATATGAACCGGACCAAAAGAAAAATGTTTGGTCCGCTTTTGGTTCGGACCAAGCAAGCGGACCAAAGGACATTTCTGGGCTGAATACACCCTTTT